CAGCAGGAAGAAGGACATTTTTTTTTTTGAGAGGTTTTTGCTATAGGGCGCGTGTGCTCACCAGAAAGACAGAAAGACAGAGAGACAGAAAGCAAGAAATCACCCCCCAGGGGGGATGGCCATGCCGCAATTCCTTCTTCTCCATTCTCCTCTTGGGCACGCATGCACATGCGCCTGGCATGAGTTTAAGCCACCGGGTCCGGGACTCGAAACGTAGTTGACTACATGGGAGTCCAGCGACATAGCCATTATGCTAACTGCTGGTCCCCAGAAGGACATGTCGATAGTGCTCGGGTCTCTGGTTTAAAGTCTTTCCACTCCTCAGCTGGTTCCTTGTCAGGGCGTGGGAAGTCCTTCCAGCACCCGCCACAGATGCATCTGCTGCAGGCTGAGTCTGGAGCCTTGAGCCCGCACACAGAGGGTGTCACGCGTTGCCCATTCTCTGCCAGGGGACGTAGAGCACAGTTGGCCCCAGTCCCCCTGCAATGGCTTCCTCACGTGAAGGTGACGTGTGTGTCCCCAGTGTGTTCTCAGCCAGTCCACGTGACAGCCCTGCTTTATTGAACCTTCCTTAGTCTGTCCCCAGCTTGGTCCTTGACGTGCCAGACAGTGACTGGGCCAGTGGCTAGGGCATGAAAGTAGAGATCAAGGGTGGACAGGGCTCTCCTGAGAAGAGGATTCGGGACTCCTGACCTCCAGGTCACAAGCTGTTCATTTTTTAAATCATATTGTTGTGGTCAAGTTAGCGAAGGGACGGTTCAGTCTAGAGAGTGAACGACAGAGAGACGGAATGACTAGAACAGTCGGTAGGTCATTTCTGAAAGTGCAGAAGGACCCTAGGCCACTTCCCTTCTGAGCCGGTCAGGTGGACTGGACCCTCTCTAAGGGGTCCTCACTTCCCAAGTCCGGCTTCTGTTTGCTCTCTTCTCCGCGGGGAAGGGAGCCTGGCGCCCTCTGCTGTCCAACTCTGGAACTGCTGGCCGATGCTCTTCCATCTCCGGCTCTCTCAAGCTTTGGCCTCCAGAGACCCCTGGGCAGGTAGGCAGGGCTGGAGAAAGTGTGGCAGGGCAGAGCTGGCCCGCCTGCTGGGCACCAGAGCCTCGGGCAAGAGAGGAGTAATGTGTTTGTCATCGAAGCCAGGAGCCTTGCAGATGGTCAGGGAGAAACTTGGCTGTCTGAAATAAGAGGCAGCAGACACCCTGGAGCAGGGACTGTCTCCAGCTGTAGACGCCTCCACCCCACGCTTGCAGGCCTGCGTTCAGTGGCTGTGCGGTGAGGTCTAGCATACTTAAGGTGGAATGGCCCCTGGGGGCTTGGTGGGTGCGCTTTGAGGCTCCACATTTTAGCTCTAGAAGGGAGGAGTTTGCTCAGGGACGGGAAGCAGGTTAGCTGAGATGCTGGACCCCAGTGCAGACCTGCAGTCCCTCAGGCTAGCTCCCTATTGCATCTCCTCCAACCCCAGTCCCTGCACTTTTTCATTTTTCTCGTTTCCTTTTGGCCTCTGTGACCCCTCAGCAGTCCTCCCCAAAGACACCTGCTGCTCGGAACCACATGCTCCACCAGGACACACCTGCCCCGTCCTCTTCATTCCTGTCCCAGAAGTCTCCTGGGTCCTCTTTTATTCAAGGGGGACTTCCCTGTCTTGGGCTCTCATCTCTGGCTCTGAGACTGAGGCTGAGGCCCTCCCACCCAGAGATAACAGAAATACCAAGGGCTGCTCCCCGTGCTGCGACTTCTGGGATACCGCATTTAAAGAGGACGGCTCGATGCAGACCTACCTCGAATCGAGCCCAGGCATCGCCAGCCAGGCTTCTGCATGCGTTTGAGGTGCGAGAATGTCATGTGCCTCCAGCTGCATCGGACCTCCAGCTCCAGGGAGAAAACCCGGAGTCCCTGGACTGCTGCTCTGAGTGGAAGGCCGTACTTTTAGCCCTCCAAGCGTAGGGGCGACGGCCTGGGCATCCCTGGGAGCCGTGAACCTGAGCTGCCGGTGGGAGTTGGCAAGGGGAGAGGGGCTGCGACTTTCCTCTCGTCCGCTGCGTGTTGTGATTTAAGGGGCGTTTTTGTTGGTCATGAAACTAGGGTCATCGATTCTCATCCATATTTCCTCATTCAACAAGCACTTTGGAGCCTTTGAAATACTCCAAGAGAAGACAGCAGCTGACAGTTCAGAAATAAGTGAGATGTTCTTGGTGAGCAGTCGGGTGGGAGAGGGAGGGGACTGCACCGCGCCCTGAGGACTGTCTGAATGGAGGAGGAAACCGCGCACGGGGAGGTTGAGTGACTGCGTGGGACGTGGGGGAAGGCCTCGGGAGAGGGGCCTAGGACGGCCACGGGGGACGAGAAGCAGACCAGGACGTAGGGCGGACGCTGCAGCTGGGTGGGAGACACACTCCAGGAAGACGGGAGGGAGAAGGAACACTCATGGCTCCTAAACACCGCGAAGCTCTTCTGGCCAACACGGTGAAGCAACGTGGCCACAGAGGCGGGACACCGGACCCCGAGTTCCTGATGGCAGATGGAGTGCGCTTCATCCGCAGGGCAGCACAGGGCATTGGAGGGTTGAGACAAGAAAGCGTCGGAATTTGTGCTTCCGAAGCTGAGTCTGAAGGAAGTCTGGATATATCACTGAGTCTTCCAGAATGACTGAGCCTGAGCTAACCTGGAAGGGCCTTGGTTCGGATCCAGATCAGGGGAGAGCATGCTCAGTCACCGTGGGCTGGGGGACACCACTCTCTCCCCACTGCCCACTGCCTGCCGCTGGGGGACGCGGGCGGAGAAATGAGGCCTGTTCCTCACGTCTGTGTAGGCTCGGAAGTCTCACAGGACCGTCCCATACGTTAGGCAACGTAAAATTAATGACAACGCTGGCGAGAATTATTATTCTCACTAAGCGAATTAAGAAATTATCTTTTTTTTTTTTTGTAGAGTTTTTGCCTTAGGGTGGGTGTACTTGCCAGAGAGAGACAGAGACAGAGACAGTGAGAGAGAAAGTGAGAAATCATCCCCCCCCCCTGCCCTGGGGAGGATGGCCATGCTGAAACCCCTTCCCTCCATTTTCTTCCTGGGGTCTTGGGCATGCATGCACATGTACCCAGTGTGAGTTTTAAGCCACCAGGTCTGGGACTCGAACCACGGTTGGCCATGTGGGAGTCCAGCGATGTAACTACTACACCATCCACTGGTGCCAAGAAACTATTTTTTAAATAAAGGGAATGACTGCTTACACACTAGTAAGGGGCAAAATGAGGACCCAGCTCTGTCTCTGGCTCTGCGTCTGGGATTCTTCTATGAATTTACTTCTTCCCTCAGCTCTCTCTTCACCCGTCTGCAGAGCCGCTGATGCGCCAGTGGGAAGCTGACAGGAGCAGGACAGGAGGTTGCCTTGGCGTCTCTGAGTTCCTGCAGACCCAGTGCTTATTTAAGCCATGCTGCAAAGTAGGCGTTACTTAAGACGGCCCCATAGCTTAGAGGTTGGGGAGCTGGATCCCACATGACTGACCATGGTTGGAGTTCCAGCTATGGCGGCATGAAAACAGGCTAGGTGTGTGTGCAGAGGTGCCCCCAATCCGGAGGGAATGGAGAAATGGAGACGGGATTGCGGCATGACCACATCCCACTGGGACTGCTTCCTCCTTCTTCCTCTGTGTCTCTCTCTGTCTCTCTCTGTCATGCACACACACTCTCTGGCAATTAAAAAAAAAAGGAAAAAGAAAAAAATAGGCCTTGGGACCAGCAGATGGCGTGGTGGTAAGTGCTAGACTCCCACGGGTAGACTGCAGTTCGAGTCCTGGACCCAGAGACTTGAAACTCATGCCAGCCAATGTGTGTGCATGCATGCCCAAAATCCCGAGAGGAGAATGGTGAAGAAATGCACTCACACTCTCTGGCAATTAAAAAAAAAAGGAAAAAGAAAAAAATAGGCCTTGGGACCAGCAGATGGCGTGGTGGTAAGTGCTAGACTCCCACGGGTAGACTGCAGTTCGAGTCCTGGACCCAGAGACTTGAAACTCATGCCAGCCAATGTGTGTGCATGCATGCCCAAAATCCCGAGAGGAGAATGGTGAAGAAGGGATTGCGGTGTGGCCCACCCCCTTGGGGGTGAGTTCTCCCTCTTTCTCTCTCTCTGTCTGTCTCTGGAGAGCACGTGCCCTATGGCAAAAACCTAAAAACAAATGAAAAATAAGGAGCCTCTGATATCTGCCGCCCCGGGGCAGCTGTGGCTTGTCGGACACACTCATCCTGACTCTGGTTTTCTCCTCGCAGCCGGAGAGGACTTCACCTCCGTGGTGTCCGAGATCATGATGTACATCCTCCTGGTCTTCCTCACCTTGTGGCTGCTCATAGAGATGGTGTACTGCTACAGGAAGGTCTCGAAGGCCGAGGAGGCAGCCCAGGAGAGCGCGTGAGTACCGAGATGGCCGAAGGGCATGCTGCTCTCGCGGGTGGGATGCCGAGCACGGTGCACCCACCTCCTCCCTCATGGCCACCCACGAGGCAGGCATGCGTCTGAGTCTCACAGATGAGCACCGTCCGGCGGAGCTCGCCTAAGGCCATGGTGCCAGGCAAAGCAGGTCTGAGTTCAGGCGCCCACTGGGCCTGCACACGAACCCCTGGGATGACGTCAGCATTGTTATCACGTACTATAAACGTGAGGCAAGGTTTGGAGACGAGTGGCTTTTGCTGAAACCACTCAGAGAGAGAGAGAGGGGCTGGGACTAGAACCCAGTCTTCTCTGTTCCTAACAGCCATGCTCTTCCCGTCACATCCCGCTGCTTGCTCTGCACCGGCAGCTCGTCAGGCAGCTTCCCCTCTACCCAGCAGTGATTAAATACCAGAGTAGGGGCTCTCTCTCTCCTGCTTCCATCCTGTGCCTGGGTCGTTTTCCCTGACGCTAGTTGTTCAAGAATAACCTCATGTGAGAAGTGATGTTTTCTTTTTCTTTCTTTCTTTCTTTTTTTTTTTTTAAGGTTTTTGCCATAGGGCATTTGCATTCATTGGAGAGACAGAGAAAAGCAGAGAGAGGGAAAGTGAGAAATCCTCCATGGGTGGTGGCCATCCCACAGTCCCTTCTCCCTTTCTCTCCCTGGGATTTTGGGCATGCACACACATATGCCCAGTGTGATTTTCAAGCTGCCAGGTCCAGGACTTGAACCACAGTTGGCCATGTGGGAGTCTGGTGCCTTAACCACCACACCACCTGCTGGTTGTCCTGAGAAGTGATGACTTTAAGAATCATGCTTGCCTGGGAACCAGCAGTTAGCGTAATGACTATGTCGCTGGACTCCCACGTAGTCGACTGCGGTTCGTGTCCCGGACCCGGTGGCTTAAAACTCACGCCGGGCGCGTGTGCGTGCGTGCCCAAGATCCGGAGAGGAGAATGGAGGAGAAGGGATTGCGGCGTGACCATCCCCCCTGGGGGGTGATTTCTCGCTTTCTGTCTCTATGTCTCTCTCTGTCCATCTGGCGAGCGCACGCGCCCTACAGTGAAAATCTCTCCAAAAAAAAAAAAAAAAAAAGAATCATGCTTGCCTGTTACTTAGGTAGAGGAAAGATAGGGAAAAAAAAAAAAAACCCACAAATTTCTATCTATATTGCTAAAGCAATGACCTTACAAAAAACGTGGCTGTTTTCACCTAAAAATATTTGAGAAAATAAAGAATCATTTTGCAATGGTATCTGTGTTCTCAAGTAAATAAAAAGTTACAACTGGTGCCCACCCCATAGCCTAGTGGTTAAGGAAGCTGGATCGCACATGGCCAATTGTAAGGTTTGAATCCTGGCCCTGGTGGCTTGAAAAATACATAGGGCATGTAACGTGTGTCTAAAATCCCAGCAGGATGGAGAAATAGAGGAGGGATTCGTAATATGACAATTCCCCACTAAGAGATCTTTCTCTCAGTTTCTCTGGCTGTCTCTGGCAAGTGCATGTGCCCTCTGGAAATTTTTTAAAAATTTAAGAAGTTACAATTGACTAGATCTGATAGGAAGAAGTGTAATGGTAAGAGAGGCTGGAATTCCTGGTGACTAGGGCTTAGACAGGAAATGCCTAAAATTGGATTTGCACAAGAAGCAGAAGGGGATTCCGGCTCCCCGCCGGGCCAGGATCCACAGGGGCCACAGTTCACATGGTAGACTGGGAGAAATCAGAACTAGCAGGTGGCATCGTCCTTACATCACAGGACTCCCACATGGTCTGCTCTAGACCTGGCGGCTTGAAACTCACGCAGGGCACGTGTGTGTGTGCTCAAAATCCCAAGAGGAGAATGGAGGAGAAGGGATTGTGGCATGCCCATCCCCTCGGAGGGTGAGTTTTTGCTTTCTGTCTCTCTGATGAGTACACATGTGCCCTACAGCAAAAATCTCAAAAAAAAAAAAAAAAAAAAAAAAAAAAAAAAAAAAAAAAAGAAAAGAAAAGAAAAAGGAAAGAAAGAAAGAAGAAAACCCACTGAATAGCCGAGGACATTCATATATCTTGGCCTGACTTTAGCAAAAAACAATTTCTTGAGACTGAGAAGCACAAACCTGTTCTCATCATGCTTAAGACTTAAACTTCTATTAAATTTGAGGTTTTTGGTGGCGCAGTAGTAAACCAGAGACCTCAGCAAGGCCGAGCCACACGAGAAAGTTCCCGGTTCTGGAGGGCTCGCCGAGTACCTTGCGCACATACACACTTAGAACCCAGCCGGCTGACGCAGGGTGAACCACGGCCCCGGGACCTTGTTGGGAGCGCTGTCTCTGACCCTCTGTCTTTCTCGTTCATGGAAGAAAGAAACTTAAAAAAACAAACAAAAAAAAACAATGAACAAATGTATATTACCCACATGATCCAGAAACTTCTACGCTGAGAAACTCAAAAAAATGTCACCAGCCAGCAACAACCATGAGTGTCTTACAGAAGGAAATCAAGCCCATTCTGGGGACCCGCACCCAGCCAGAGCCAGCAGCGCTCCCCGGATAAAGCAGTGCTGGATCTGAGTGCACAGATCCAAAATCAACCTCCATGAGTAAGAGAGGCAAAATACGCCAGGGTTAAACCCCAGAACCTTTAAACACAAGCAATGAAAGAAGAAACCAAAAGCATAAAAATATAGTTGCAAAAAAAAAAAAAAAAAGACAGGAAGATTTATGTAGGATTCCCCCTAAAATTTCATTTCATTTAAATTCTGGACATGTGGGTCAGCCCATTGACATAGTGGTTAAGGCAGGTAGATCCCACATGACCAACTGCATGGTTCGAGTCCCAGACCTGGCAGCTTGAAAAACACGCCAAGTGTGTGCACATATGTGCTTAAAATCCTGAAAGGAGAAAAAGGAGACAGGATCATGGCATCCCAGAGGGGAAGCTTTCTCAGTCTCTCTCTTGCTCTTTCTCTTTCTCTCTCTCTGGCAAGCTCAGGGTTTTGGCAAAATTAAGAAGAAAAAAATATTCTAGAAATAAAAAATATAGTTAGTGAAATTTAAAACATCATGGACTGGCTCAGCAGAAGATTAGATGCCAGTACCTGGGAGGTAAAGCTGCAGGAGTTACACAGAAGGAAGTGCCGAGATCGAAAAAGATGAATAAAGAGACAAATGAGATAGCAAAAGAAACACGAAGGGAAAAGCAGTCTGCACATCCATTAGGACAGACCTGCGAGAATGAAGGAAAGACAATATATATACATTTTTTTTTTTTTAGTTTTACTCTAGGGCATGTGCACTCACCAGAGACAGAAAGAGACAGAGACACAGAGAGAGAGAGATCGCCCTCTTCCTGGAGGGATGACCATGCCCCAGTCCCTTCTCCTCTGTTCTACTCTCAGGGTTTTGGGCACCCACACACATGTGCCTGATGTGTTTTTCAAGCTGCACGCCCAGGACTCGAACTGCACAGCCAGCCATGTGAGATGACAGCCACCTTAGCCACCACACCACTGGCTGGCTCTGAGGGACAGCACATTTCCTGAGCAGGATAAATACAAATAAAAATACGCCTGAATACTAACCATCTCGAAACGGACAAGTGACAGTGTCTTGTGATCCCTGCAGTGAAGATCATCTTTGTGTGGAAACCTTAGGAGCAATAAATGCCTGCAATATTAGAAACATGCCAAGGAGCCTACCTTTCCCCGCTTCTATTTAATATAGTACTGGAGATTCTGGGGGGTGGACTAAAAATTACATAGAGAATACGGACTGGAAAGGAAATAGCTACATTATCATTATTCACATTATGTAACTATCTACATGGAATTTCCAAGAGACCTTATAAATAATTAAAACTAGTCCACCAAGTTATTGATGCAAATCAAACTATAAAAATTGCTGGGACCAGCAGATGATGTAACCGTTACGTGGCTGAACTCCCATGTAGTCAACCACAGTTTGAGTCCTGGAACTGGTGACTTAAAACTCATGCCGGGTGCGTGTGTGTGCGTGCCCAAAATCCCTAGAAGAGAATAGAGGAGAAGAGATTGCAGCGTGGCCATCCCCAGGGGGGTGGGTTTCTCGCTTTCTGTCTCTCTGGTGAGCACACGCCCTATAGCAAAAATCTCCCTCTAAAATAAATAAATAAATAAATAAATAAAAATTGCCTACATTACAACAACAAATTTATGAACAGATGTATTTAAATTTTTTTGAGAGGTTTTTGCTATAGGGCACGTGCGCTTGCCAGAAAGACAGAGAGAGACAGAGAGACAGAAAGCAAGAAATCACCCCCCAAGGGGGATGGCCACACGGCAATCCCTTCTCCTTCATTCTCCTCTCGGGATCTTGGGCACGCACGCACACTTGCCTGGCATGAATTTAACTGCAGCCAACCACATGGGAGTCCAGCGACATAGCCATTACACTAACTGCTGGTCCCAAATGTATTTAAATATTTAAAATGCTTTAAATTTAAATATCAATTATTTTATATTCAAATATTTAAATTTATTTAAATATTTAAAACTTTTTTTTTAATTGGCAGAGTGCATGTGTGCTCACCAGAGGGAGAGAGGGAGAAAGCCCCTGGCACCCCCTGATGGGGAATGGTCACCCCACAAGCCCTTATCCTCTGTTTCTTCATCCTGCTGGAACTTTGGTCATGCACGCACATGCAACTGCCATGTTTGTCAAGCCTCCAGAGACAGAATTTGTACTGCAGATCTGGCTCCCTTGACCACTAGGCTATGGGGCCAGCCCTGAAGGTTTCTTATAGACCTCTCGGACTAAAGAGTCTGGGATACTGAGGCCAGCAGATGGCTTAGTGGTTACATTGCCGGACTCCCACATGGCTGACTGTGGTTCAAGTTCTGGACCCAGTGGCTTAAAAATCATGCTGGCTGCACATGTGGGCATGCCCAAGATCCCAGGGGAGGGTGGAGAAAAGATTGTGGTGTGGCCATCCTCCCAGAGGGTGATTTCTCACTTTCCCTCTGTCTCTGTTGTGTTCTCTCTCTTTCTGGCAAGTATACACGCCCTATGGCAAAATCCTCTGGAAAAAAAATAAGCTTGGGTTACTGACATAAGTAACAAAATGAACAAGCAGAACAAAACAGAAGGCCCCTAAATAGGTAAATATAAATACCTAATATGTGCCAGAAATGGCATTCCAATCATTGAAGTAAGAATGAACTGTCCGTAAATGTATATATATATGTGTGTGTGTGTGTGTGTGTGTGTGTGTGTGTGTGTTTGTTGTTGAGGGTGGAAGATAAAGTAATTACTCTCAGGTTCCTATATTATTGTAAAAACAAAGTAAAGCGTAAGACCTGAAAATTCTGTTGAGAGACTATAAAATAACAACTTTATTACCTTGAAATAGAATATTTCTTCTTTTTAAAGAATTGTTTTATTTAACTTTATTTATTTATTTAGTTTAACCAGAGAGGGACAGAGAGAGAGAGAGAGAGAGAGAGAGAGAGAGAGAGAGAGAGAGAGAGAGAGAGAGAGAGAGAGAGAGAGAGAGAGAGAGAGAGAGAGAGAGAGAGAAGGAGAGGTGCCAGGTCAAGGACTCAAACTGCGGTCAGCCATGTGGGAATCCAGCGCCCTTAACTACCACGCCACCTGCCAGCCCTCAGATAGAGTATTTCTTAAAATACAAAAGTCACAAATCAAAGATGAAACGTGATAATTTGGATTAATCATAAGTAATGGTCAATTATTCACTATAAAAACTCATGACAAACAACAGACTGGGAAAAATCTTCAAGATATGAAACCATCAAAGAAACATCAAAAAGAAAAAGACAAATATCTCAGAAGAAAAACTGGCCAAGAAAATGCTCAGACTACAGAAGTGGAAACCCAGATAGTCTATAAACATGTGAACAGATGCTCAATTCCCCCATTAATCCGGAAAGTGGAAATTAAAGCCATTGTAAATATAATCTCGCACCCATCCGTTTGGCCAGCATTTTAGCCCTACAGTACTGAGTGCTGGAGACAATGTGGGTGAATGGGGAGACTCGCACTCTGCAGGAGGGAGTGTGCCACACACCGACACAGCGGGGAGGAAATGGTGATAGAGTCCGCTGGGAGGGCCCTGCGTTTCGCCTTGGGAGCACAGCAGGAGGAAGGGAGGTGCTGAAGCAGGAGCTCTCTGCCCTCTGTCTGCAGGTCTGACTACCTTGCCATTCCATCGGAGAACAAGGAGAACTCTGCAGTGCCCGTGGAGGAATAGATGAGCACAGCGTGACTTGAGGTGATGCATGGGGACTTGGGAGGGGAAGGTGGAGGTGGATGGCAGGCTGTATGAGTGATTCTAAACTGGGTTCCTTAGCTCAATTTCTGCCCTGCTCAGGTCCTTAGTCTCAGGGTGTTTGAAGCTGACACTCAAGCTACATAGTTCTGTGTGATGTCAGTCCCTTTGGAAGGCAATCGTGTTGGCCTGGGTGTCACGGCAACCTGGACTCCTTGCCTGTAGTAACAAAGGCATGATAATTCTCTCACTCCCTCCTTTGCTGAGAGTGGCTGGGCTGGGTTGGATTGTGCAGGGCCAGGCTGGACATTTTCAGTTGTTTTGTCATTGGTAGGTGGCCTGAACACGGAGAGACTGGATATCTGAGGTTCATTGATGTCGACAGCATCCGGAGGGTGCCCCAGGGGGCACCATCGTTTCCCTTCATGCATCCATCTTCCATTCATTCATCCACACATCCACCCACCTCGGAGCTTCCACCTGGGGCTTCCTAACTCCATCAGACCTCTGCATACCTTAAAACTTTACCAGACCTGAGAAGCCAACATTTTTACAGACCAGTCCTCACCCTGTCCTAGCTTTCAAGAAAGCAGCTCCCACGCCAACTGGATTTCTCCCTAGCACTCTGTGCAAGTGTGGGAGCAGCATCTCCATCTGCCCTACTTGGAGCTTTCTCACTCACCGTCGTTGGAAGAGAATGGATGTCTTAATGGAAGGAAGCAGGAGTGATTTATTCAGGTGAAAGCCAAGCATGCCATAAATTTAGATTCCGTGCAGTCAGATTTTCCAAGTTCATGGTTCACTTGGCTAGCATTGGAACAAAGTGTGACTCTCCAGTGATAGAGGAATCCCTAAGCCTGGACTAAATGCTCTCTGGGGCTTGGTACTCCAGGGCTAGACACTGATGGGTCTCGAAGGCCTGGGTTCAACTCAGTCCTTCCGAGGAGCCAACACCAGGAGACTCGAGAAAGATCGATGGCAATTTAGACTCTTTAAAGTCGCATGAGGTGTCCCTCTTGGGATAATGTGTATGTGCCCTGTCCAGGGAACACACCACCTGGGCACTGGAATGGAAATTCTTAAGTTCTTTCTCTCAAAGTTTCTGAGGCTCAGTATTATTGCTCATTTTAGGGAAGGAAACTGAAACATGCAGGATTCAATGGAATATTCCAAAACTAGAGCACTGAGAAGCCGTAGGTGCTGTCCAGTTGACACTCCCCGGGACAGATCACTCTGGTTTTGAGAAGACCTTGATGGGGAGCTTGACTGTGGCCATGGCTCTTGCACATGCAGATGGATTACCCATTGAAGTTAACGCTGATGGACTTAGGTAACTGTAAACTGGCATGAAAAGCAGAGAGAAGGGTGTGAGGTAGACACGAAGGATTTCCTTCAAGATTTGGGTGTCCAAAGCACCCTGCAGAGGGACCTTGTGTCTCAGAATGATGTTTCGATGAGGAAGAATGCTTTTCAGTCTGACATGGATGATGGCAAGTGAGTGAAGTGACCACCGTGGCTTCTGAATAGTTCACTTGTGACTCCATTATATTCAGGTGGGAGCAGAGAGAAATCGCGGTCAGCATCCCATGTTTCATTTTAACCGAGTGACTGGCCCAATGGCGATGTTCTTGAGCACCCAGTGATGGGAGAGAGGGATGTTGACTGGGATGTGAGGCGATGAAGTGACCGGGATTTGATGAGACGTTCCTCCGAGTTACAGGGAAAGACCGTACTCCATTGGCTTTGGGCTTCATCTGATCAGTTCATTTTATTCATCTCGTCATCCCTGAGGAACTATTTGAAACAAAACCCTTAGCACATATTAAAGAGCCTGACTTCGTTGAAGAACATATTTGCAATAAACTCAAGACCCTTCTTTTTGGTAGTTTCCCACAGCACCTCTCTGAAATGGAGAGACACTGTACATTTTTCTTACTTGATAGGAGGGCAGGCCTGACTTAGTGTGAGCTTTTCCCATCAGGCCTGTGGCCGGTTGGCACCAGAGCGCGCAGTGTAGACGAGGATCTGCTACGTACTGCCACGCCCCTCTTTCCTCGGCTCCAGTGGGTCACTCATCCAACTCGTACCCAAGCAGGATTCATAACTACCTTTTTATTTCTCTCTCTCTCTCTTTTTTTAAAAAACCCTACTCAGATGATTCCTGAGCGATTAAGTTTCTTTCCTGTTTTTAATTCATGAGAGACAGACAGATGGACAGAGACAAGCACGCTCGACAGGGTCGCATGCTGTGATTATCCCTCCAGCTCTCCCAGCCAGCCAGGACCACAGGCCTGTGCACGCACACGGTGCACACAGGTCACCCCGAGGACTGAACCCCAAGCTCCCACACAGCTCAGTGTCACGGACTGGCATGCCAACACTGGAGCATGTGGCTGGTCCCTGAGTGACTTTTAATGACGCTGACGGGTACCTCTCATTTAATTATCCTTTATGAGTTACCGTCTACTCTTTTCCTTTTTCTCCTCAACGCTTCTCATTCTCGGCTTTTTCACCAGAGCTTTAAGGCTTGCAGAGCATTTTCAGTGTAATTATTTTATTTCTTCTCTGTAACTGGTCCTGTGAGGTGGATATTAATAATATAAGTTGAACATCCCTCATCTGAAAATCTGAAATCTGAAATGCTTGAAAATCTGACACTTTCTGAGCACTGACGTGGCAGGTGGGACATCTCACGCCTGCCCTGATGTGACAGGGCACGGTCAAAATGCCGCAATACAAGAATACTATATTAAGTCACCTTTAGACTGTGTGTATATAAAATATAAATGGGTTTTGTGTTTAGACGTGGGTACAAGCAGGCAGATGGACTGCCCAGTTGAAGCTAAGGTTGGTATACTTGGGTGTGTAACACACACACACACACACATCCAACTATTCCAAAATCTGAAAAAATGTGAAATTCAAAACATTTCTGGTTCCAAGTATTTCTAAGGGACATCCAGCCTTACATAACAAATGAAGAAACGGAAGCTCTCCGAAGTTAAGCAGCTTTACTAAGTCGTAAGGCCCCCTCTCTGGTAAGCAGAGCGCTGGGATCCAGTCCTTCTGGCTCCTGTTCTGGTCCTTTCCACAGAGACCATAGCTGCTTTGTCTCTTAACTACCATCAAACCTTCACCTTCCTGCTGCCCTGACGTTCACATCTTTGACCCCTGACCCCACTGGACTGCCTCTCTAGCACATTGCTCCATGATGGTTGCTAGAAACATACTTTAAAAGACAGTCCTATTTTGGTTCTCGCTATTTCTCCTGGATTGCCACTGAACTCTTCCCTGAGGGGCTTGATCATGACTTAGAACTCTACAAGGCACTGTGATCACCAGCTGACTTACATCTTCACCCACCTCTGTCTTGGCCTGTTTTCCTACAAGAGCCCCAGGCTGAACATGTGTTGTTCTGGAAGCTTTAACTCTGATGCTTACTAAAGGGCTTGGAAGAGTTCTCAAGGGCTATCCCCACTTCAGAAACCCCATCTGTTGCCGTGGTGCTGGGTATGTCCCATCACTGACCCTCAGTGACACAGTCCACTCAAGGCCAAGCGTAGCTGGGGCTGATGTTCCCGTCCTTGCTGTTTAACAGCCATGCACTTGGTCACTCAGCTCGGCTGGCCCTGAAAGCACCTCTTTTTGCTGACCTGCAGGGTCAGCTCGGTCGTGTATCAAAGCCCCAGCCCCTGCATGAAGTCCATGGGCAGACAGTGCTTTTCCCTGCCCCAGCCTCTATTTCCAGTCTGCTCCAAAGCATGATCTCAGTTCCTCCACCCTCAGACATCTGCACAACCAGGCCTTCTTCCGAGTTCCTGGTTTCTCCTGAGATGTTGAACTAGGAATCAGTAGCAGTAAAGGAGTTCTCCAAACCACCGTGCTGAGAGCTGTGTAGAGCAGCGAGGGGGAAGGCCGCAGCTCCCTCCTACTGGATCAAAAAGGACACTCGTCTCAGAACCTGTAAACCCACTTCATGCAAATCAGAGGTCAAGGGCTGTGGAACTGCATCTTTTCGGGAAGCAGGAGCTAGACAGATCTCAGAATACAGCTTGGTTCCCCATGCCCAGCTGAGCATGGAAATGGAAAAACAAAAATCAAAAGCAACACAAGAAGCCTTCCTCTCCTTTTGGGAATGAACAAGCCCTGAATCTGGTGACCCTGCCTAGTCACTGCAGATGTACCTGAACGGGACATGGTGTGGCCATCCACTAGTCACCCGTGCGTTCCACAGCTCGCTCCCTCTGGGTCAAGGTCTCGCCTGAGTGCCCCATGACCTTAGGTCTGAACAGCCTCCCACGCCTGACTTACGCTGAGCCCCAACACGGTAGGCAGCTCATGCGGAGTCCAGCCCACCGCCTCCCCTTTGGCTGGGCGTACAGTGGGATCCACCAGACAAGCACTGCTGAGCAAGCCTGCGTTCTAGCGTGTCATGACCAGGTAAACCTCAGAGCCAGAAATGCGCTTCTCCTGCATCGCCGTTTGGCCTGAGCTGCTTCTGATGGGCAGTTGGTGTGATGGGAAGGGAGGGTGCCGAAGGGTCAGTGCTGTGAGCAAACGCCTGTGACATTTCCACGTCGTCACCTTCACTCATATTGCTTTTTCTTGGTTTTCCACAGCCAGTCCTTTTCTGAACTCTAGAAATGTCGTTCCTGACCACTCAAGCCCTGAACACCCAAATGCCTGTATGTAGTGTTTTTCAGTAAACTTCCCGTTTGTGTCAATAAAGCGTCTCTAAGAACCACTTGCTCTGGATGTGCGTCTTTGTTTATAGACAGCGGATTCCAGGTAGCAGCCCAGCCTGTGTCGATCGCTATGCCGTCCCTAGTCAGCGAGTCTGTGCAGAGAATCAAGCACACGAGTCAGTCTCGAACTCACAGAGGCCACGTGTGTGAGCCGACTTCCTCTTCTCTCCCCTCTTCTGCCCAAGTACGAAGGAATACAAGGGTCACCTGGTCCTTGGCTAGCATCAAACAAGTCTCCTAACAAGGGGACAAGGATCTCATTGTAAAGTTAAGTCCTACTGAAGAGCGGGGCCCGACTGGCCTCGGCTCTGCCAGTTTAGGCAACATGACGCAGTGTCCGTCTTCCTGAAAGTGCCAAGACCCGAAAAGGGAAAAGCTCAGTAAGAAACTGCCGTTGGGAGTCATAGTCTACCACAATCTCCTATAGTAATAATGGTGCTGATTAATAAAAATGTTAGAAATAATCTTGGGGGCCAGCAGGTGGCATGGTGATTAGAGTGCTGGACTCCCACATGGCCGACCACAGTTCGAGCCCTGGACTCAGTGGCTTCAAACTCACACCAGGCACTTGTGCGTGCATGCCCAAAATTCTGAGAGGAGACTGGAGAAGGGGTTGTGGCATGGCTGTCCCCCCTAGGGGGTGATTTTTTGCTTTCTCTCTGGTGAGTGCTCATGCCCCATAGCAAAAGTCTCACTCTCAAACAAACAAACAAACAAACTCCTCTAAAAACAATCTTGATACAATAGTCACCATATAAGAAATATGTCTTTTTCCATATCTCTCAAACACTGAGACTCGTGGTGCTAGGCGGGGTCCAAGGTCTCAAAGCTGGTAAGAACTTTGTACACGGGTCTGATTTCCAAAAGTTCCTAGCCATTCTACTTGATCCAGTGCCTCCTCCCCTCAGGGGAGGAGGTGAAGGCTGTGTGTGTACAGTGTCCTTGCACACACACCTTTGAGACTTGCCGTGAGCACCCGGAGACCTCTGGTACAAGCACTTAAAGGACTAATGCAATAAACACGCACACCAGACTGGAGAAGGGGTTGTGGCATGGCTGTCCCCCCTAGGGGGTGATTTTTTGCTTTCTCTCTGGTGAGTGCTCATGCCCCATAGCAAAAGTCTCACTCTCAAACAAACAAACAAACAAACTCCTCTAAAAACAATCTTGATACAATAGTCACCATATAAGAAATATGTCTTTTTCCATATCTCTCAAACACTGAGACTCGTGGTGCTAGGCGGGGTCCAAGGTCTCAAAGCTGGTAAGAACTTTGTACACGGGTCTGATTTCCAAAAGTTCCTAGCCATTCTACTTGATCCAGTGCCTCCTCCCCTCAGGGGAGGAGGTGAAGGCTGTGTGTGTACAGTGTCCTTGCACACACACCTTTGAGACTTGCCGTGAGCACCCGGAGACCTCTGGTACAAGCACTTAAAGGACTAATGCAATAAACACGCACACCACGCACCTGTAGTTCAATACTTTTTTCTTTTAATTCATACTGTACTTTCATGGCTCTAGCTACTTTACATTAAGTTCGGCTGGGTAGCCTCGTATGTTTCTAGGTACTAGCAGTGAGTTTTCAGACCTTGCGCACAGCGCCAGGCAAAGTACAGTTACAGATCCAAACACAGATGGCCAGACAGTTCGGCTGCAATCAACCCGTGTTCCTTCCCATGATGGCCCAATGTAGGTGCAGGGCGATGCTCCCTCTGCCTCACCCCACTCTACCCCATGTCTAGATTCCCCAGGGGTCACCATGGCCTCTGACTCATCTCTCCCCCGCTTGGAGTCTACGTTGAGTTGGAGGAAAGCACCATGGGTTTGGGAAGATGGTCCGGTCCATGCAGAGAGTGGTCTGGCCCTCAAGTCAGGGTAGGGAAATGGGGGGGTGGGGGGAGGGAGAGGCGACACACTATGGTTGGCAAAAATGGTTGCCTTTGCTGTGCAATCTCAGCACGTGGTCCCCAAGTCCCGGGCCAACTCCCCAGACAGAGCCAGTTGTCTTGTCCAGAGCAGAGGCCACCATTTTGTTTCCACGATGTCTTGTTGTGTTGAGAGAAACCAGGAGGACCCTGGGGCAGAGACGACAGTGTTCTCTAAGCCTTCACATGTTGGGGAGATCGTCTGGCACCAGCTCCTCTTGGCAAGCAAGGTGCTTCTCACCAGCAGCAGATCCGGGTTCCCAGGCCTGCTGAGGACCTCAAGTCACAAGACCCCTGAGCTGTCACACAGGACACCAAAACAGGGAGCCGGCTGGGCCCCTCACAGCTGTTGCTGGAGCAGGAGTGAGGTAACGAGGCTGGGCAGAGAGGTGGGAGAGGAGCTCTCTGCACCGGGTGCAAATTCCTGCTCCATGTCAGAAAAGCAGGGGCATTAGAAGATGGCCTTCCAGGAAAGTGCTCCTCTCAAACCCAAAATACATCTCCTGAAAAAAACCTTAGAGGTGGAGGGAGTGAGACCAGCCTACTGGAAGTTGGAGGATAAGGGTCAAAGATATCAAGGGGTGAATGGGATGGCTGTCCCACAGCGGAGAGACAAGGTCAGGGAAGGAGCCAGGAAGAGAGAGTCCTACTGGAACGGGGAGGTGGGGGTGGGCATGTAGAGAAGACAACCACAACCCTGGCACAGGGGAGAAGAGAGAAGAGTACCATTTCTCCTGGGGGCTATGGGAAGAAGGGCTGTCTCTGGCTGCCCTGCAGAGCTTAAGAGATGGCATGGCATGGCACGGAAAGGCTCTTCTAGCCCTTCCTCAAGGCCTCATCCTAGAGACGCTGCCTGTGAACGCATTAGGGACAGTCCAAGCCGGAGTGAGGGAGAGGGACATGGAGAGATTCCACTTCTCAAGAAGCATTCCTCTTGGGATCTCTTGGTCCTCCCCACGCCTTCTAATCCCTGGTTCTTAGTGTGGGTGCTCGAAGGCAACCCAAGGATTTTAGCCAAAGCTTCACACTCAATCCACACCCCAAGAGGCTTTCTGTGGAGCCCAAGGAGAAGTGCTAGAACCGGAAATGGCTTCTCTCCACTGTTTCTCCTATCAATGAGGAGGAGGGGTGGACAGATGAAAGGCTTCACAGAAAGAAGATGGGCTCAATCCAGGATGGCTCTCTTCTTGCCATTATCGTCCTTCTCCTAGCTGGAGACAGTCCAAAGGAGGGTCCCTTCCCAAACGAAGCCCAGGCCAAAGGAGAAAGAAACACCCTC